AAAAAAAAGAAAGAAAGAAAGAAAGAAAGAAAGAAAGAAAGAAAGAAAGAAAGAAAGAAAGAAAGACAGACAGACAGACAGACAGAGATACAGTTCCTTGGTTAGTTATGGTGATCCCAACCATAAAATTGTTTTTGGTGCTACTTCATAACTGTACTTTTGCTACTGTTATGAATTGTAATGAGAATATGTTTTTGACAGTGGAGGTTTGTCAAAGGGTTTGACCCATAGGCTGAGAGCTCTTACTCTAGCAGTTTGACCGCTGTCAAGAGCATACGGCCATTGGCCTCACCTACCTGGGTCCCTCTCCCTTCCCTGACCGCAAGACCCCGTGTGGCCTCCTCACTGGAAGTTATTCAACGCCTAGTCTGTCTTCTGAGCCCTGTTGCCATTCACCTTGCCTCACCCCTGGGCACCCTACTCCATGATTTCTCGGGCATTCTGTGTGGTTCTTACCTCTGTGCTGAGGTTTCCTGTGTAGTTGGCACTATCTGAGGGACCCTATACTCAGTCTCCTCGTGCTTGAAGTTTCCCAAGCTAGAGCCTTGAGTCTCCAGTAGCCGGGATTACAGGCTTGCACTCCCAGGCCTAACCAGGCCTGGCTGGGTTGGTTGCTTTCATTTGTTTTGTTTAGTAAAAGTCGCAAGGATGTAAAAAAGGGATGAAGGTGTCTCATCCTGCACCCCCTCCCTGTTCATTTGGTTTTTATTTTTCTTGTTTGTTTTAGGTTTTTTTTTTTTTTAAATATTTATTCATTATGTATACAGTATTCTGTCTGCATGTATGTCTGCAGGCCAGAAGAGGGTGCCAGATCCCATTACAGATGGTTGTGAGCCACCATGTGGGAATTGAACTCAGGACCTCTGGAAGAGCAGTCAGTGCTCTTAACCTCTGAATCATCTCTCTAGTCCCGTTTGTTTGACTTTGAAAAGGGTTCTCAAAGTATCACCAGGCTATCCTCAATCCTCTGGCAATACTGGGATTTCAGGTGTGAGCCACCATGCCTGGCTAGTGCTGAATGTGTTTTTTTTTTTTTTTCTTTTTACTTATTTATTTGGAGATAGGGCCTCAAACTTGCTATATAGCTAAAGATGGCCTTAAACTTCTGATCTTCCCGCCTTCACATTGCCAGTGTGAGGATTTAATGCTGCATTGTTCTTCAAAAAATTTTATGGGCTGGAGAGATGGCTCAGCAGTTAAGAGCGCTGACTGCTCTTCCAGAGGACCGGGGTTCAATTCCCAGCACCCACATGGCAGTTTACAACTGTCTGGAAATGCAGTTCCATGAGATCTGACACCTTCACACCAATGCACATAAAATAAAGTTAAATCATTTAAAAAATTTTTTTTCAATTTATTTTTTTTTAACCTTTCTTTGGTTTTGCGAGAATGATTTTCTCTGTCTATTCCTGGCTGTCCTCTGTTGCTATGTAGACCAGGCTGGCTTCTAATTCACAGAGATCCATCTGCCTCTGTCTCCGAGTGCTGGGATTAAAGACGTGTGCCTCCACTGCCTGGTGGGTTCTGTTGTGTTTTGTTTTGGATTTTATTTCATTTTATCTGCATGCAGTTAGTTCCGTGCATCATGTGCATCTGGTATTTGCAGAGGACAAAAGAGGGCGTTAGGTCCCCTGGAGCTGGAGTTAACATGCAGCTGTGAGCTGTCAGATGTGGGTGCTGGGAACTCAGGTCCTCTGGAAGAACAAGGTGTTCTTAACCTGTGAGCCGTCTCTGCAGCCCCAGGCACTGAGCTCTCACTCCTAAAGCAGCACCTGTCTTTCAGAAGGTTCTTCAGGAGAGCGCTTGTGGTTATGTTGTGGTTGGGATCCCAGCACCCACATGGTACCTCACAGCCAGTTCCTCCAGGGGCACCAGGCACACAGGTGATACACAGACACACTTGCAGGCCAAATACCCATACACATAAAACAAATGTAAAAACAGATTTTTTTTAGGTGCTCAATAAAATCTATTGAATATATCAAAGAAATTTGGTGTAGTGGCACACACCTATGATCCTCAGATCCTCTGAGGCAAGAGGGTCTTAAGTTTAGAATCAGCCTGGGCTACAGAACAAATCCCATGAAAGGGAAGGTCAGGAAAAGAAAAGAAAGGGCAGGGGTGCATGCCCATACATCACTTAGTTAAGAGGATTACTTTAGTGAGTTCAAGACTAGTCAGGCCTGTAACTGCCCTTCCTAAGGGAGAAAGAAGGAAAGAGTTGTATCCTAGAATCCCGAAGTACCATTAGATCCCTGTTGTCTTTGCTAGGGCTCTGCTCACCCTCTGACCTTTGCCCTTCATGCTGATTTCCTCTCCCTCTGCAGGATGCTACGGAAAGACAAGGAGGAGGCAGAGGCCATCAAACATGCCAAGGCCCTGGAGGAGGAAAAAGCCATGTACTCAGTGAGTTCTGGGTAGGGTGAAGGGGGCAAAGGTGTGTCTCTAGTGAAGGCACACTCCTCACCATCCTGGCACTTCCTCTCCAGGGCCGTCGTTCCCGGCGACAGCGAAGAGAGTTCAGAGAGAAGCGGCTGAGGGGCCGCAAGATCAGCCCTCCCAGGTAGGACTTCTTTCCTGGGCAGCTTTGCTCACAGCCAGGGGCTCAGGAGCGCAGCCGTGGCTTCAGGAAGGAATGCTCTAATGACAAACCTGGAATGACAGTTACTAGTGAGGAGTAGCATTGTATGTTTTCCTCTGCCACCTGCCATCTAACCCTGCTGGCCTGGGGACTCTTGGGGAATGGACAGGAAGCTACTGGCGATGGCTAGAGGAACTGTGGCCAGAGCTCAGGGCCCCAGTCATAGTGGATTTGTGTTGCTCTGTGACCTCTGTAGAGTCTAGATAAATGACTCCTCTCTTCCAGCTGGGCTCTTCCTCTGCAAAGTGGGGAACCCTTACCTCCGAGGAGAGGGCACTCTATCCACATGAGGGGAGGCTTGGCCTGGTGACCCTAGGCAAGTGTCTGATAAAGGAAAAGGATTGAATGTGGCTCTAAGGTTTAAACTGCTCAGGGCTAGGCAGCCCTGGATTCTCATTATTACTACTTTTAATAATAGTAACTCAGTGGCCCTGTCAGTATATTGACTCAAAATTCTAGATGCAGGCCACATACCTGAGCTGGGATCTTGGCTCCTTCACTTTTGAACAGTGTGACCCTAGACAAGCCACTTGCCCTTGCCCTCTCTGGGCCTGTTCCTGTCCTATGAAGAGTCACTGAGTTAAGTTAGGCACTCTGTTGTTTTCACACCAGCATCAATCAGGGACTGGTTATGGGGAAGTTCTTCCAGTGTGGGGTTGGAAAGCCGGCAGCACCACGGCTGCTCATGCTGTGATAAGGAGACAGGTGTGGGTTTCCCATAGTCAGGGTGCATAGGCATAGTCTGCAGCACTGGGGATCTGGGTGGGAGAGGCCCAGGATTCACGCCTGCCCACTCTCAGCTCTCCATTGTTTTTCCTGTTGTCTACATAGTTATGCCCGCCGAGACAGCCCCACCTATGACCCCTATAAACGGTAAGTGTCAGCACCCAGGACAAAGCCATCATCTTGTGGTCTGTGGGTGGTTGTTGAATCCATATCAGTTTTGTTTTTCCAATTTATTTTCCTCAACACCGTCAACAGAAGAGGCTATGGTACACACCATCAAATACGGCATAGGGGATCTGGAGATTGCCAGGCACTGACAGCCTCACCCAGCAAGCGTGGTGCCGGTCCCAGGGTGTCCAACTTAACTTCTGCCTGCTGTTCTCTTAAGGCCAAGGGTGGGGCCTGGTGGGGCTTTTGTGTTGGCTGCTTTGCTCGAAAGGGTGTTCCACTAGGCCCCAGGATCTCAGGATGAAATTAAACTACATGGAACAGCTGAGAATTTACTCTCCAGGTTAAACAGGAAGACCGCAATATTTTCATTGAGTCTATTGAAACCCAGAGGGAGCCTCATGCATAGGCAACTATACCCAGCCCTTCATTTTTACTGACTACATAAAGCCAGGCATTTTCTTTTTTTTATATTTGTTTACTGAGACAGGGTTTCTCTGTGTAGCCCTGGTTATCCTAGAACTCTATGTAGAGTAGACAAGGCTAGCCTTGAAATAGCCAGAGAACTGCTGGCCTTGGCCTACCCAGTGCCAGAATTAAAGGCACGCACCACTACCACCTCCAGGCCCATTTTCTGTTTTGAAAAATTACATTTGTGTGGGTGGGTGCAGTGCATATGCTACAGGGCTGGGGGTAAAGTGGCAGCTTAGAGGAATAAGGTCTCACTGTATGTGGGTCCAGGGGTTGACCTGAAGCTGTCATGCATAGGAGCAAGGCTTTACTGCTGAGCCTTCTCACCAGCTGTAAACTTACTTGATTTTTCGAGACAAAGTTTCCCTGTGTAGCAGTTCTGGCTGTCCTAGAACTTGCTCTGCAGACCCGGCTGGCCTTGACTCAGTAGTAGGATTAAAGGCATGTCCCATGACCAATTAATTTATTTTTGAGACAAGGTCTCTCTTTGCTCTGGCTGGACTTGACCTCCCTATGGATGTTTACCTGGCTGGCCTCTAGATCACACAACCCACTAGGGCCCTGGTGCAGCTGGGGTGGGTTCTGAGTGCTGGCCTCCCTTTTGCCCACCCTCTGCTGCAGGTCACCTTCGGAATCCAGCTCTGAGTCCCGCTCCCGCTCTCGCTCCCCGAGCCCAGGCCGCGAGGAAAAGATCACTTTCATCACCAGTTTTGGGGGCAGCGATGAGGAGGCAGCTGCTGCGGCCGCCGCGGCTGCCGCATCGGGAGCCACCCCCGGAAAGCCCCTTGCACCCCCCCAACCCGGCGGCCCCACTCCAGGCCGCAATGCCAGTGCCCGGTCGGTAACGCTTGTGGGCACCCAAGCCGGTTCCCGGGGGTGGGGGGTGGGGAGTTCCTCTAAGGGCAGTGGTGCTGATGGCCTTGTGCTCCCACAGCCGCCGCTCCTCCTCGTCCTCCGCCTCCAGGACGTCCAGCTCTCGCTCCAGTTCGCGCTCCAGCTCGCGCTCACGCCGTGGCTACTACCGGTCTGGCCGCCATGCGCGCTCCCGCTCGCGTTCCTGGTCCCGCTCGCGCTCCCGCTCCCGGCGCTATTCGCGCTCCCGCAGTCGCGGAAGGCGGCACTCCGAAGGCGGTTCCCGAGACGGACACCGCTACTCGCGCTCGCCAGCCCGGCGTGGCGGGTATGCGCCTCGCCGCAGAAGCAGGTCCGCACTCGAGCTCCCATTTGGGCGGGTGCTGGCACTGGGGAGGCAGGCTGGGGACAGATTGCTCTTTTTCAGCAAGCACCTATTTGGAAGCAGGACGGGGTAGGTGCCCAAAATTTGGGGTGGGGCCTGATAATTCTTCAGGGACACTGGGCATGGAGGTGTCTCTTTGACTTCTGCCTGGACTATCCAGTCTGCAGGACCTGGGAATCTGGTGGGTGGGGCTATAACCTTTGTGGAAGGGTTGGGTACCCAGGGGGCAGTGGAATATGGGTTGTGGCTGCTTTTAGGTTTGGTGGGGGAGAGCTCAGAAGCAGGGGCAGGCTTACTGACCCAGCTGGAGTTTGTTCTTTCGTAGAACAGGTGCAGCCTAAGTGTTGAGGGCAGACCCTGGCCCTGCTTATGATATGTAATGTTGCCGTGTTACTGCCAGTTTGCTGGTGTGTATCAGTCATAGCGCCATCCATCCACTGTGGGAGCTGTAACCGCCAGGCTCAGGCCTGGCTCCCTCATCCTCCTGTTGCTCTAGAGAGGCTGAGAGTACTTGTTTCCTGATGGCTGTGGTCACTCAGGACTGACTACAAGCACTAGTCAGCCCGGGCAGATTTGCTACATATTTGGAAGTTGACTTCTGAATCTTTTCTGTAGCCCGACCACAGGAGAAAGGCTGGGGAGGGAAACGGAGCCTATCACAAACTGGATGCCAGCCCGAGACTCTCACTAGTACCTCAAGCGGGGAATCTCTGGGACTGTGCAGCCTGTCTAGGGCTTGAGTGCTGGTGCTGGCTGATGTGTGGGATAGGGAGCGCCACAGGTGTGGAGCAAAGTGGGGCACCCCCGGAAGTTAGCACCTGGGTATCCCATGAGATAGAGAAGTGTGTCCAGCATACTCATGTTCTAGAATGTGCCCAGGGAGCCGCAGGAGCTTTCGGAGGGAAGTATGGGGGAGGGGGAAAGTGGACTGAATATACTCAACCCTATTGGAGACCCATGGCCTTGGAAATTGAGGTGACAATCCTTCTCTTCTACACTACTAGGAGCCGCTCCCGTTCAGGTGACCGCTATAAGCGGGGTGCCAGAGGTCCCAGGCACCATAGTAGCAGTCGTAGCCGCAGCAGCTGGTCCCTCAGCCCTTCCCGAAGCCGCAGCCTGACCCGTAGTGGAAGCCGAAGCCAGAGCCGGAGCAGAAGCCGCAGCCAGAGCCAGAGTCACTCGCCATCGCCCCCAAGGGAGAAGCTGACCAGGCCAGCAGCGTCCCCTGCTGTGGGCGAGAAGCTGAAAAAGTGAGTAGGGGCCTGGCTGGAGCTGAGGGAGCCCCCACTGGGTTCATTTTGTGGGGAGGTGTGTGCACTGCCGTATAGAGGCATTGCCATCATGGCCTCAGCTGGGGTAGACGGTTAGAGAGGGATGTGATCCTGCCTAGGTTCTGTGGGTCAGGAACATATCCTGAAGGTTCTGGAGCCCATGGCTAATGGCTGTCCTGAGGCCCATGGTAAAGGTAGCACTCCCATCTCCTCCCACCCAGGACCGAACCTGCCGCTGGTAAAGAGACAGGAGCTGCCAAAGTCAGTAAGAATTTGGAACTCGCCCGTCTAATTCCTGTCAGCAGCAGTGTCCAGAGCTGGGCCCGGTTGGCCTGCAGGGGGCCCAGGGGGAGGGGAGAACCAGCCCAGGGACTACTCTGGGGAGGGGCTACCCAGGCAAGCTAAGTCCCATCCCTGCCTCCCATGGGGCTCCAGCTGGCCCCCAAGTCCCAGGCTCTTGGCTGAGGTGGGCTGGATGAACTCTGGGCACCCACGCCTGTCCCGCCCCTTCTCCCGCAGCCCAAGCTGACCCCACAGGAGAGGCTGAAGCTGCGGATGCAGAAGGCTCTGAATCGCCAGTGTAAGTCGTTCCCCCCCCCCCCCAGTCCAGCCAGAGCTGTGGGAAAAGTGGGATGACCTCTGAGTCTGCCAGAGCAGGTCAGGTGGTGGTGTGGGGACCCTGAGCACAACCCTCAGCCCCACAACCTTCCTCCACAGTCAAGGCGGATAAGAAGGCTGCTCAGGAGAAGATGATACAGCAGGAGCATGAGCGCCAGGTCAGGCCAGGCTCAGAGGGGTGGGGCACTTGGGTGCAGTGGGGGGGCTGAGCCACCCCTCACAGCTGTTTCTGCTGCAGGAGCGCGAGGATGAGCTGCGCGCCATGGCCCGAAAGATCAGAATGAAGTAAGGCCCTAGCCTGTGGTCAAGGCAGCCCTGCTGCAGGAGGCTCCTCTCCCCTCCTTTCGTTGGTTTCCCCAGCCCATTGCTGTCCTCATGTTCAGGCGGCTCTTCCTGATGGCCTAGGCCCCTCACCTTCTGACCTCATGTCTGAACAGCATCCCCATACTCTCTGGCTTCCCCACATCTGACAACCGTGTCCTTGGTGTTTAATGCTTAATAAGTGGTAAAGTGAAGCCCACCCCATGGTGGGTCTCTTAGGTTAGGGGCTTTTCCTTTTCCCTTTCTTCTCCTGCGTTAGATGTTGGGCTGTGGTCAGAGTCCTGGGCCTAGATCATAGGCTTGGGGTTTTGTCTTAAGTCTCTCTGATCAGGTGAAGCCTGAAGTGGCTCGGTGCCCACCACACTAGACAGCTAGGATTAGTACCCAAGTCCTCAGTTTGCCTGGGACCCTGATTTGTGCTGTGGGTGGGAGCTGACATTTTGCTCTCTCTGAGCTGGGCTGCCTTTCTCTGTGGGGCAATGATGGGAATGGCCCCTGCCTCTATATAGTTAGGCATGTGACCTCCTGGGCTGTCGGGGAACCTGCTGCCGCTCCTGCTTTTTCATTTTCTAAAAACAGATATATACACATGTACATATATTTTTGGTTTTTGGGTTTTTTTAAATTATTTATTTATTTATTATGAGTACAATATTCTATCTGTATATGCCTGCAGGCTAGAAGAGGGCACCAGACCTCATTACAGATGGTTGTGAGCCACCATGTGGATGCTGGGAATTGAACTCAGGACCTTTGGAAGAACAGTCCATGCTCTTAACCACTGAGCCATCTCTCCAGCCCTGGTTTTTTGTTTTTTTGTTTTTTGTTTTTTTTTTTTTTAGATAGGTTTTCACACTGTAGCTTTTGGTGGCCTGGAATTCACGAAGTCGCCAGGGTATCTCTGAGTTCATGGTAATCCTCCTGCTTTATCTTCCCAAGTGCTGGGACTACAGGCATGAAACACCATGCCTGGCTTGCTGGGAAGAGAGGGAAGAAGGAAGTGAGCAAGCCAGCAGGGCACATGAGGTGGCGCACGCGTGGATGTCAGAGGACAAACTCCAGATATCAGGACTCTCTTTCCAGTGTAGGACCTGAGATGGAATTCAGGTTGAGCTGTCCTGTGGCAAATCATTATGCACCACGCCTTCAGGTGGAGGAAGAGGCCAGGCCTGGTGTTTCCCACCTGTGCTATCAGCACAGGGGAGGATCCTGAATTCAAGGCCAATCTGAGCTACGCAGACAAAAACCCTCTGAGTCCAGGGACTGGGACTGGGTTTATGTTGGCTGGCTATGTCGGCTTCTGGTGTTTCCCCTCACTGTCTGCCTCATTCCTGCCTGAGCCTCAGTGTATGCTGCTACTCACTGGATAGGAGTAGGCCTGGCTTTCCTGGTAGATACAGGGCAGTCCAGCCTGCGCAGGGACAGGTGCCTACAGCCCGCAGGTGCTCACTCCTCCCTGTTGGTTGCCTCCCCTCTCCCCCTGCAGGGAGCGAGAGCGACGAGAGAAGGAGAGAGAAGAGTGGGAACGCCAATACAGCCGCCAGAGTCGTTCACCCTCTCCACGCTACAGTGAGTATTTCGTCTACCATTGCTACAGTTCCCACATTGCCAGGGTCAGGAGAGTCAGGCTGCTTCTCGGGACCATTAGAAAAACTGGGTGTGGTGGTTCTTACCTAAAATCCAGCACTCCAGGGCTAGAGACCAGGGTTACCTGGAGAAATCCTGCTTTAAATAATAAAGGAAGAAAACAGTTCTGATCTGGCAGTCTGGAGAGTGGGGCAAGAGAGTCCAGCCAAATTTCACACACACCACATACACACATGCCACAAAAAAAAAAAAAAAAACCCACAGCACTGGAGGCTCACTTGTTTTGTTGTTTGGGAGCAGCCTCTGTGGGGAATTCATCTTATTGTTTAAAAAAAGTACTAGACAGCCGGGCAGTGGTGGTGCACTCCTTTAATCCCAGCACTCGGGAGGCAGAGGCAGGCAGATCTCTGTGAGTTCGAGACCAGCCTGGTCTACAAGAGCTAGTTCCAGGACAGGCTCCAAAACCACAGAGAAACCCTGTCTCGAAAAACAAAACAAAACAGTACTAGACAGTTTGACAGACACTGGGAAGACAGAAGGATCTGAGTTTCTGAGTTTGAGGCCAGTCTGGTCTACACAGCCAGTTTCAGGCTAACCAAAGGCAACATAGTGAGACCCAGTCTCAAAACAGTAGGACCTTGCTTGAGGCACACACAGACCGCAGGTGCCCCATCTGAGCTGAGAATGTGGGGAGGGGCTTCATCCTCGCAGAGGTCTTCTGCAAGGTTGAGGCAAGGGCTCCAAGATGGCTAGTGGAGGCTGACTGGCATCACTGTCCTTTTCTTTCAGGTCGAGAGTACAGTTCTTCTCGAAGGTGAGGCTGCTGGTCCAGCTACCAGGGGTGACTCTCCAAGTCTCCTTTGCCTCTTCATTTGGTGTGGCTGGACTTGTTCCCTGGGGAAGACTGGGCTGCTGAGGGAAGGAGGAGTGTCTCCAGGCCTGTTAGTGCACGTGTGCATGGGAGAGGTTCCTAGCATCCCACCCTCATAGTTTTCTCCCTTCTCCGCAGGCGCTCGAGGTCCAGGTCCCGAAGCCCCCATTACAGGCATTAGGCGGAGGACTGAGTGGGGGCTGCGATGCCCTGGGTTTCTGTAGTGAAATAAAAGCTAACATTATTTAATGCCCTTTGCTGCTTGCTGCCCTGAGTAGGTGGGACTTGCAGGCTACATGCAGCTGAGGACTGCCGCAGGTGCTGCCTAGCCTGCAGGGTGTGGTGAGGGGGAGCCTGCCCAGGAGGCAGGGGCCAATCAGTCAAGGGCTCAGGCTGTGTGGCATGTGAGGACAGGGCCAGTGGATGACGGGCTAGGACTGGACTGCGCCCAGGGGCCTCTGGTGACAGGTCCAGGCCTCTCCTTGCCCTTGCCCGGCCCCTGGCCTCACCCACACCAAGAACCGGGAGCACGGCTTTCTGTGCCAGTCCTCCAGTGCCGAGGGCACTCACCCCCACTCCAAACCGGTCTGTCCAGCCAGCCACACTATGGAGGGGGAGGCTCCCACCTCAGACACCCCAAGAAAGCCAGAGTCCAGGCACATCATGAATAAGGTGATTTATTTACATAATGAGAAGGATGAAGAGACGACAGAACTACACTGAGACCATCTCTGGATGTTTCTGGCATATGTGCTTATCCAGTGTGGCACGGAGGACAAACGGAACAGAGCAGTGTGGGCACTTATAGCGGGGACTGCCAGGCCCCAGACCATGCATGCGGCGGTGGCGGTTGAGCTTGCTACTTTGGGCGCAGGTGTAAGGACACTGGTCACAGGCATAGGGCCGTTCACCAGTGTGTGAGCGCCGGTGTACTGTCAGGTTACTGCTATTGGCAAAATACTTCCCGCAGAACTCACAGCTGCTCCCAGGTCCGCGGCTCTTGCCCGTCGACTTGGGGGTCTTCTTGGGTGTTGGCTTCTCACCCTTTATAGGGTCAGTCCTTTGTACTTTGGCAGTGGCTCCCCAGTCCATAGCATCTGGGCCTGCTTGAGCCCCACTGCCAGGGGCCCCAGGTTCCTGTATTCCTGCTGTGGCTGCAGCTCCAGCCTTCTCCACCTCCTGGTGTGGGAGTGTGCTAGCTGGAGCAGCTGCATGGTCAGCTGGTTCTGGAGGGGCTGTTGGGGAGACCCCCCTGCTGGTGGCAGGGGTGCAGGGACTCCCAGGTGTCAGCTGTCGGTGGGTCTTCTTGTGCCTGTTGAGCTTGCTGCTCTGAGCACAGGCGTAGGGACACTGGTCACAGGCGTAGGGTCGTTCACCAGTATGGGAACGCATATGGACCTTGAGGTTGCTGAAAGAGCTGAGGGTCTTCTTGCACACCAAGCAAGTGGGGCTCCGCCGGGCAGCACTACTCACTGTGGGGGGCTTGTCCTCAACTGGTCCTACCACTGCCACTGCCGACACAGCTGCAGCTACCTCAGCCAGGCCCAACAGTGGGGATTCTGGGGTCTCCGATTCTGTTTGGTAGATGGATAGCCCATGATCCCACTGGGCATGGCATAGCAGCTTCCATGCTCCGGTGAACTGTCTGCCACATCGCAGACAGCTCAGAGCCTTCATGTCCTTGGATTCTGGAAAGGGGAAGAGGGAGCAGGGAGTCAGTGCTTGTAGGATGGTTATTAGCAGTACCAACCAGGCCAGCATCTTCCTTCACTGATAAAGAGACCCAGATGCTGCTCTCTGAAAACTTCCTCAACTGTGAAGGTGGCTTTCTGTTTCATAGTAAGGGGAGGTCAGCAAGACACTGGAAAATTAGGGACAGGAGCTCCAAAAGCAGATCTGCTGAGACCTCAGAGCTGGGGCCTGGCACAGACAGCCGCCTACTGGGGAGATGGGCTAGCGTCTGCTTTCCAAATAGGAAATTTCCCTAGACCCATGGTACACAACTACAGGACACTTCCTAGAGCCACCAAAGACCCAGACTCTGGATGGGAGGGAGCCTTGATGATACTATACCAGGCCAAAGCCAAGCAGAAACCTGTTAAACTGAAGACCCTCCTTAGCTGCATAATCCTGGACAAGACCTATCCTACACGACAAGCCTCAGTTTCCCAAGTTGCTGGACCATAGGAATCTGAGGGGCCCCTTCCAGGGTTTTAACATCAGATTGGGAACAGCTGAGAGTCCTGGTCCCTATAAGCCCTCAAACATAAGATGAGCCTCAGATACCAAAAGATCCACAGCTGAGCCAGGGTGGTGGCACACACCTTTACTCCCAGCATTGGGAAGGCAGAGGCAGGCAAATCTCTGTAAGTTGTAGCCCAACCTGGCCTACTTAGAGTTCCAGGTCTGCCAGGGCTATTTAGAGACCGTGTCTCAAACAAGAGCACCCACAACTATCCAGGCTGCCTAAAAGGCTAAACTCTACACACCAAGTGCCCACTAGTCAGTGCTGGGGTGCTGCTCTGGTAAATCCACTTTAGCCCCTCCTTGGCCCATCCCTAAATATTAATCTAGTTCCCAAGTTCCGGGCGGACAAAGCAGGAGCTGGGGCTGGAAATTCAAGTTCCGATCGGATCAAGTACCTAAATCTTGCGACCACTAACCGACACATAGTTTGAATTCCTCTTTCATATATTCGACTCTGGAGTATCCAGCGCTCCGACTAGGGGCTTCCCGGCACTCAGCTGGGAGATCCCAGCAAGGGAACACGCCAGAAGCCCATACCCTGCCTCTGAACTGTCTTGATTAGAAGGATCGAAACACAGTAGGGGTGCGGGCCTCCAACCCTCTCCCGGAGGCCACTGTCCCCACCTCCTCCAGGTCCCTCTACTGCCAACCCTGGTCCAGCCACCTGGCCAGTTATTTCTGTCCTTGGGGAAGGAGAAGTGAAACTAAATTGGGGGTGTATGACAAAACCCCGGGCCGGTCTTCTGAGGATGGCCACACCTTGTGGGTGGCCTTCCTCCGCTGCCCAGCCCCCCCCCCCCCCCGCCCCCGCTCTACCTCTAGTCCCTGCCCTAGGACAGACAAGCCCAGGCCACGCCTAGGTTCTACCCTAAGGGGAGCAAGGAGAAAGGGGAAGTAATGCTTGGTGCCCCATCTGTCCACCTTAGCCCCCTCTCCGCAGGGCAGGAAGCCCAACCCTGGATCAGAGGGGGCACTGCACTGAAATTACCTGAAATGGGGCCGACGTCCTGGAGGATCTGACAGCCCAGTTTTTTGTGGTCCATGAAAGCGATGATGGCCTCCAATGGGAAGGTCTGCAGGCAGCGGCCGCAGGTCAACAGATCTGGGTGCTTGTTGGTCCAGGGCTGGCGGTCTGCAGGGAGGAAGCGGGTGGTGAGCGGTGGGGTGGGGCCCGGCTAGGGGTGAGGACACCAAGGTGGAGAGGGGAAACCCGGAGGTCAAAAGCGAAGGCTGGGGAGGCCAGGCCGTCCGGGGCCAACCCCAGGAGAGAGGTACCCACCGGAGGGTTCCGGTGCACGCTGGAGCGAGGGCTGGGGACGCCAGGCGGGCCCCAGGGCAGAGAGGTACCCACCCGAGGGTCTCGATACACGCAGGAGCGAAGGCTGGGGACGTCAGGCGGGTCCCGGGGCAGAGAGGTACCCACCTGAGGGTCTCGATACCCGCAGGGGCGAGGGCTAGGGACGCCAGGCGAGTCCCGGGACAGAGACACCCACCGGAGGGTCCCGATGCGCACAGAGAGGACTGCGGACTCACCGGAAGGTTCAAGGCTCAGCGGTATCCACGGGGCCCACGGACTGCGCGCGCCGAGGGGCAGCGGGGCAGTGCCGAAACGACGCTCGGTACCGAGGGGTCCCGGCATGGACACGTCCTTCGGGGCCAAGGGCCCCAGGGCCCCCGCGTCACGCTCTGGCTTCACATCAATGACGAGCTCTGGCGTCTCCATGTCGTCTTGGTCGGGCTCGGGGTCTACACGGCGCGGCACGTAGCCGGCCTTGCGGCGGGACATGGAGCACGGCGCAGGTCCAGACAACCCGCTCGGCCGCCGGACGCTCAGGTGAGTGGCCTGCGGAGACCCGCACCGAACTTTTTACACGTGCTGGTCCTGCGGTGGCTCCACCCATTAAGGGCGGGGCCTTGCAAGGCCAGTCGCAGAGGCCAAACCCGACCTTCCTGGCCCTGCCCGCTGCCCCGGGGTGAGTGCGCGTACTATCCGCTCCGCAGGAGTCGATTTCACTCCAGTGGGAAAGTGCTGTTTCCAAACCACCACAGCGCTGGTGTTACCTGAGGTTCGGGATGTCTCACCTCATACCCCAAACGAGAGGTGGGGACACCTCTTAGCAGATGGGAAGAAAATTCGCTCTTTAAACATTCATCTTCCTTTCTTTCCAATATTTTTCCCCCTTTTTCTCTAAGATAGCCCTTAGCTCAAGCGACCCCGAACTGGATAAGTAACAAGTAACGGATGATTGATCTTGCCCCCGCCTCGCCAGTGTCGGTTTTACAGGAATACATCACTACACCTATTTTATGTGGTGCTGGCCATCGAACCCAGAATGTGCATTCTAGGGCAAGCATCCTACTCATGGGCTACATCTCCAAACTTTGGAACCCCATTTCTGAGCACCTACAGTAACAGCAATGAAGCAACCGTGCCATAATCTTACAATGTGGGGATGGGGGGAGGGGGAGGGCTTCTGGTAATCCAAGCTACCCAGGAGGCTGAGGATCACAATTCAAGACCAGACAGGGTTGCACCCAAAAAAGGGATTTGGTTTCCTACTCTGTACCAGGACTGAGAACGCAGGTCAGTATGGAGACCTTGGAAGGCAGTGGTAGCCATTGCAAACTGGTAGTCTCAGCACACCAAGTGTGGAAGCAGAATCAGCAGTTCAAAACCAGTGTCTGTCAGCTACATAGAGAGTTTGAGACTCTGACAAAAAAATAAATTAAAAAAAAAGCTGATTTTGGTGGTGGTACACTGTAACCTCAAGTGCTTCACTCGGAGTTGGAGGCAGAAGGATTGCCCAAGAGTTCTTGACCAGACTGGTCTACATAGTGAGCTCCAGGCCAACTGGGATACTACTTGGGGAGATCTTGTCTCCAATCAGTCTGAAGATCTGAGGTTTGTGAGGCAGCAAAGGAGAGCCAAGAGCCTGAGCATTCAGGACTAAAGGAAAGGGGAGCACACCCGGAAAGGTCTTTTGGTAACTTTGAGGTTTGTTGCTTCTGCTGGTACCAGGGGCTTTGAGGATTCGAGTCAAACGGAGCACTAATCATCCACCTCTGCTTTCTTTGTAAGCCCAGGCTACTATCAAAACTAAAGAAATGGCCAGCAGTCCTTTGCCTTCCTCTGGAGCCTCTGAAATTTCTCTCAGATAAGAATTTTCTTTTTTCTTTCTTTTCTTTTCTTTTTTCCAAGACAGGGTTTCTCTGTAGCTTTGGAGCCTGTCCTGGAACTAGCTCTGGTAGACCAGGCTGGCCTCAAACTCACAGAGATCCGCCTGCCTCTGCCTCCCAAGTGCTGGGATTAAAGGCGTGAGCCACTGCTGTCCCGCAAACAAAAATTTTTTCTGTTGCACTGTTGGAAGTGGCAGGACACGCTGCCCCGCCCTCAATCACACACCACAGGCCACAGAACTGTTTACTGCCCCCCCCCACTACAAACTCCCCTAGGTTAAGGCCAGTAGTGCCTGCCCCAGGTGTCCTGAGGCTGAACTCTGAAGTCCCTCACATTGTTATTCAGGCGTGGACTCTATTGTCCTCCTGCAGGTCCAGGACCTCCCTGGGCAGTTTATCTAAAGTAGCCACACCCTGCCGTAGGCCTTGCAAATTAGTCCTGATGACTTCCATCTGTTCCTAATTCCTTCTTGGTCTCAGCTTCCTAAACTCAAGGAAGACCTCCAGAGTCACCAAAGGTGACTTTATTTTATTTATTTATTTACTTGTTTGTTTTTGAGGCAGGGTTTCTCTGTGTAGTGTTGCACGTTGCAGCCAGTCCTGGAACTCGTTCTGTAGACCTGCCTGGCCTCGAACTCACAGAAATCAACTGCCTCTGCCTCCCCAAATGCTGGGATTAAAGGATTGTGCCATAATGCCTGGTCCAAAGGTGAATTTTTAAATGTACTTTTAAAGATTATTAAATCAATTTATTTATTATTTATCTTCAAAATATGTCTATTTGTTTTCTCTCTCGTGTGTTTGCATACGCTGCAGCATGCAAGTGGGGGTCAAAGGACAATTTTCAGGTGTCCAGTCCCTTTCCTTCCTATGTGGGTCTAGGGAATTGAACTCCCATCCTTAGGTTTGGCAGCAAGCTCATTAATATTAATCCATTGAGCTATCTCACCAGTTCTTTCTTCCTTTTTTTTTTTTTTTTTTTTGAGAAGTGTGAAGGCTAGGGTTGGGTTTTTGTTTTTGAGACAGGGTCTCTCTATGTAGCCCTGGCTGTCCCAGGACCAAACTGGCCTAGAACTCAGAGATCTGCCTGCCTCTGCCTCTTGAGTGCTGGGATTAAAGGTGTGTGCCAGCAACCAGGTGGTGGTGTTGGCCCATGCCTTTAATCCCAGCACTCAGGAGGCAGAGACAGGCAGATCTTTGTGAGTTCGAGGCCAGCCTATTTCCCTTCCTTCCCTCCCTCTTTCCTTCCTCCTTTCTTCCTTTCTTTCTCTCTCTTTTCTTTTCTTCCCTCCCCCGCTCCTGTTTCTTCTTTCTTTCCCTCCCTTCTTACCCTTATTTCCTTTCTTCCAGGCTGGCTCCAAATTCACACCAATTCTCCCTCTGCAGATGCTCCATTTGATCACTGAATTTGAAGCCCTTCTTAACTTGCTAAGATTATTCCTACTGCCCTTATTGTCTCCTTTTTGAAGGATGTAAGGGACCAGAACCCCAGGGCCTTGCATTGGTTAGCCCAGTGCCCTGTCACAGAGGTATATGCCCAGCCTCATATCCTTCTCCCTTTGTTCTAACAGGTCCATGCTCTGTAGCACAGGCTAGCCTTCAACATGAGATCCTCTTGCTTCAGCTTTATCAAGCATCAGATACAATTTAGCTTTTTCCCCCCTCTCGTGCTAAGGATGGAACCCATGGTCTTGTCATGTTAAGTAAGCCAAACCGAATCTTGCCCCAGTCCCTCTGAAAGATCTTGGTTTTGGTTTATTTTTACTTTTTTTTTTTTTTTTTTTTTTTTTGTGAGAAGCGGTTTCCTGGAACTCACTTTGTAGACCAGGCTGGCCTCGAACTCACAGAGATCCACCTGCCTCTGCCTCGGAGTGCTGGGATTGAAGGCATGCACCACCACTGCCCAGCAATTTTGGTTTGTTTATTTGCTCACTTTTAGCCTCTTTTACTTCCCCAATTCGAAAGCGAATGCAGGTTCTGAAAGAGCAAGATCGGGGTGACCAGTTCCATTCTTTACTTTTTCTCAGTGACCTAGGACTCTCTGATTCTGCTTCGGAAGTCCTCCAGCTTGGCCTCCCTGGTAGCTCGGACAGGCAGGCGCTCGGTACCCAGCTTCTGCTTTCATGCTTTAATCAACAACTGTGTGAGGAGGGGGCGCTTTCCAGGAATATCTGCAGAGCATCTGTGCCCCAGGCAGTAATGGGAATGCCACCGTCCTCCCCTCCCTCAGCGGAGCTCTGGGAATAAAATCAGTTCTACCTGGACCGAGGTCGGTGAGGTTTCCCATTCTCCCCTGCAGGACATCGGGTTTTCTCACTTTGTAAACTAAGGATGCAGAAAGGGCTAAAGGACAAGATGAACGACCTCTGGCCATCCAAGATGCAGCACACTGGAAGCCCTCTTCAGGGTCTGTGAAGGCTGAGAGAATAATAAGGTTCCTCCTGGAGGGGAAGGGCGGGGACAGGAGCACTTCTCAAGTGGTTGAGAAGAAATGAGTCTCTGAGCCTTGGCCCTTCCTTCCTTCCTTCCTTCCTTCCTTCCTTCCTTCCTTCCTTCCTTCCTTTCTTTCTTTCTTTCTTTCTTTCTTTCTTTCTTTCTTTCTTTCATGGTTTCTCTGTGTAACAGTCCTGGCTGTCCTGGAACTCTCTCAGTAGACCAGGCTGGCCTTGAATTTACAGAGCTCTGCCTGCCTCTGCCTCCGGAGTGCTGGGATTAAAGGCGCGTGCCACCATCGCCCGGCTGATCCTGAACTTTTGAAACCTGCTTCTGCTCCCAAGTGCTGAGAATACAGGTGCGAGGCACTACTCGTTTCTCCTTTCTAACTTTTCTTTCTTTTTTAAAAAATTTTATTTATTTTTTTTATTTAACTTTATTTTATGTGCATTGATGTGAAGGTGTCAGACCCTTCCTTCCTTTTCTTTTTTTAAACCTTTTTCAGACAAGGCCTTGAATTTTGACAATCCTCCTCCTGCCTCATCTCCAGAGAGCGCTGGGGATTCCAAGCCTGGGAGTCACCATGCCCAACTTTTTGAGCTTCAGTTTCGTGCTCCCTAAAGAGGGCATCTTAGATTCCCCTAACTCGCAAGCTGGCAGAGCCCAGCGCTGGCCCGGCGCCCCACAAGTGGCCAACCAACACGTGGGGAAGCGACGGCGCGGGCGGAACTCAGGCGCGTGGGGCTCGGTGCCCACCCGGACCCTTTGGCGACTGCGCTAGCGGAACCCAGGCGGTCCGGGCTGGGTGCCTGCCGGGACCTGTGCGGCGGTGGCGGCAGCGCGGGCGGAAGCGTCTTCAGTGACGGCCTGGGTGAGTGCGCTAAGGCCTTGAGCCTGTCAGCCGCCTGCTGTGCTGCCCAGAGGAGATGGCCTGGAGGGGGACTGTGCTCGGACGCCGGGCGGGGTGGGAGGTGGCTACCCTGGGGCTGGAGGACACGCTTAGAATTAGAAAGGAAGCTGACCTGCCCACGGGCGCCTACGAGAGAACAGATCTGCCCTCTGGCTGCTTATTCTCTGAAATGGCCCAGTTTATCGAATTTGCACGGTGGCGGGAGTGGACAGTTATCTCCTGGTGTGCGTGAACAAATAAACACGTGCCTCCTCGCCTGGAAGCTCAGCCAATTACTATCCTGATAACGCTGGTGGACCTAATGCCCTCCAAGCGGTAGCCCCTGGCTTGTCTTGAACTCAGTGTGATCGATCCAAGGTAACTCAATTTTCCATCCCGTCTTCACCTGCCAAGTGCTGGGATTACAGGCCTGCTCTACCACAATTTATGCTAAACTATTGATAGAACTCGTTTAATGCTTGCTCCACAAGTCCTCTACCACTTGAGCTATACCTCCACCCTTCCCCGTCCCCATTCCCCGTCCCTTCCCTATGTAATTCAGGCTGCTTGTGAACTCTCCACTACCAAAGGCTGGCCTTTGTCTCAAAGGTGTTCCCTGTCTCAATTGCTCAAGTTCTGGGGTTATAGGTGTTGGCCACTACGCCTAGCTCTGCTCGCCTTGAGACCCCAAAGAAAGACCTGTGAACTGCTGCCTCTTCACTGACCAAAGTCATGGAACGGATTAGCCGGGCACTGGGATGGAAGGGTTTGGATTTTAACCGGATTAGCCGGGCACTGGGATGGAAGGGTTTGGATTTTAACCTCTGGGCATGAAATCCAGGATCTCTGGATCA